CTGGGTGAAGTGAAGAAATCTTGCTACACCCTCCAGTCAACCCACTCTGGGGCTGCTCCGGTTGCACAAGCCACCGAGTTTTTCCAGGGAAAACTTCCTGGTTTTTTGTTTGGTTGGGTTTTCATTTTTTTTTTTACTGGGGGGAGGGGAGAGATCACCCCTTTATCCCGCCCCCCCTTTGCCAAACACCGCGAGCTCCCAACACATGGCAAGGAGAAGGGCAGTCTGGTTCCCCCCTCCCCCAGATTCCCAAGTAGCTGAAGTTTACTTTAGGCTGGTGGCTTTCGGCCCTTCCCTTGTGGCTGGGCGCAAGCAGCAAGATAACAAACCGAAAGCCCAGTCAGGCCCAGGGGGCTGCCAGGGTGGGAAGACCCCAACTACAGCTAGGAGAGGACCCCCATCCTGGGGGGCAGCCCCCCCTAAGGACTGCAATAGAAGAGTTTCTCCACCCAGGAGCCTGATCCATTGGGGGATTCACCCCCTCACCTCGATCCAGAAGGGGGTGCATAAGGGGAGGCCTCACCAGGGTTTATTGTGGGGGATGGTGATTCTCTTCCCATGGGGCGGGGGAGATTGGGAGGGTCTAGGAGGAAAGTGAGGGGCAGCTAGAGAACTCCCCATGGGGCAGAAAGTCTCCTGAAGGCGCTGTGGGGTGGGCAGGGGCTGGGATGGCTCAGATCAGGGAGGCCTCTTGGGGAGAGGCGGGATCTGGAGAAAGGCCTAGCTCCCCGCCCCCCCAACCACCCAGGGGAGGCATCCCCGCTCCAGGGCGGGCACGGGGGAGAAGGCCTAGTGGGGAAGAGAAGAAATTTCCCCTTCTCCACCCATGGGGGTTGCAGTGGGGGTCAGACGGGGGCACTGCAGCAGAGGGAGGCATAGCAAGTCCCCTTGGCATCAGGGGCGTTAGATGAGGGACTGCAGCAGAGGGGGGCAGAGCAGGTTCCCCCAGGATCAGGGGGTTAAGTGGAGGGTGCAGCAGAGGTAGGGCCGAGCAGGTCCCCCCAGGATCAGGGGGTGCAGTGGGGGGTGCAGCAGAGGGGGGCAGAGCAGGTTCCCCCAGGATCAGGGGGTTAAGTGGAGGGTGCAGCAGAGGTAGGGCCGAGCAGGTCCCCCCAGGATCAGGGGGTGCAGTGGGAGTCAGGCTGGGGGGGCAGAGCCGGT